GCGGATTTTCCTGCTTAGTTGTGCCACTCGGTGGAAGCCGAGATATTGGGCGGTGAACATGTCATTGGCTATTCGAACCTTATTTTACTACTTGACAAACATCCAGTTACTGAAGAGCTGTAGTGTTGTTGTGTAGTAGACATGTACGTTGCACTAAGTTCGAATATCAGGACACCGCTATTTTCCCACACACGACACATTCCTAGAGCTGCAAATCCCTCCCTAAATCTTACCTAAATCAACGAAGCAAAATATACTCGTGGGCACGTAGCTAGTGAATCATACTCTTCGTTGGTCCTTCGAGTCCCTAAGAGTGTTTGTAAGATAGATATGCGTAAGTTAGCACCAAGTGCTTTACCACGCAACTTGCAGCGCAAAACTCGCGTTGTAAACGACTTACCGGGTAGACTACCCGACCCCTTGTTAAAAGCTTTTTTGTAGCTTGCTAGACGCTATCAGGTTGGTCGAAATCTTGTATCGGATTTCACATTTGGCAGGTATCAGATAAACTCCATACATTTTCCTACCATGTCGGTGGATTGACTTCGTATCATTGGGGCGGAGCCCCCCCCCGTAATCATGTGATTTATGTCCTCTTGAACCCTCTTTACAGGAAGCAAATCAGAGATTAAGAAGAGGTTAGGGCTTACATCTATCATACCGTTTTCCGGGGCCAAAAAACACGGGACAAGTCAGTAGGATGACCAATCACAATCCAATATTTTTTTGCCTCAGCTGCCCCGAAATTTTAGGTCACAACTATGGTTACTTTATCCCTGGCGAAACCGATTATCACCAGCAATCGGTTTCGCCCACCAAATGACTCAAGCAATGATGGACATGGCTCTAGCAGCTAGAGTCTAGCTCGCTGAGCTCAAACGCTCTGCCCCGCCGTCTATGGCGCCGCAACCACCGCTGTCGCCTGCACTAGCCTCAGCTGACGAGGAAGTGGCTGGGCCCATGTAGGGTCATAGCGGTAGTACTTGTACGACGCAAGATGCGCGGGATGGCACGTCACCCCGTGGGCCACAGGCGCGCTCAGCCCAGATAGGAGCAACACCAATGCCTTCTCATGCAGCAAGTATCCGCGCAAACGTGTCTGCACCCGATGGCAGTGCTAAAGCGCGGTGTAGCTCTAGGGCGTGTCGTCCTCGAGGCGGTGTCCCGCCCCGCGCGGTGCTGGAAGCGTGTGCGTGTTTTGCGTGTGCTTCAGCCCTGAATACTAATTACCAGGGCTCGCAATCGGGTTACCCGTTTCTTGTACCCGCCCTACCCGCCTCGGGTATATCCGGTTTCGGGTCGGGTACGGGTACCCGAAGCAAACCTCGGGCGGTGCCACGGGTACCCGAAGTTGACGAAAATAGTACTAAATAGTAATATTTCTTACTTATACCAGCTATATCATGCTCCTACGCCGTCTTCTTTTACCATCCACAAGTCCTTTTCACTCTGTATTGATTTCGCGTAGTTCCTACTTAAATGTTTAACTTTAAAACCGTGTCGGGAGATGAAACAGTTGGTCCGTCCGTGCAAAACCTTGAGCCCTGGCTGGCCCGGGTACACCCGTGGCTTGGGTACCCGACTTCGGCTTGGACGGCGACACGGGCGGGTACGGGTACCCAGTCAGCACCGTTTGCGAGCCCTGCTAATTACCGTTAATATTTGATATCGTCAACCAAACATTAATTCATACAGTACAAAGTTGCCCTATTTAACTTATCCCCGAATGAAACACCCCCTTAGGGGTTATCATGGTTGGAAAGTAACACTAAGTTTGACTAGGCCTATCCCTCTGTGATCCTATTCGACGGATTTGTTTTGGCGAATCGAATCAAACAATTAATCAGCCAATCAACTGGATTCTTTGTGCCCAACTCAAACTTCCCTCTTTTTGCCAGCAGGTCTCAGCGGAGAGAGACGGGCTTCAGTGAAAAAAGACAATACATTTGAAGCGATCTGATTGTTCGAGAAAACCTACTCCAAAACTACTTTCTAACCGTGATAATAATTAAACCCCTTGTGCCAGCCCTGGTCACAGGTATGGCTGCCACAGCCAAGGAAGCAGTACCTCTATGTAGATTGCATATTTTACTCGACTAGCGTTTGCCGTGGTGAGATACCCTTAATGAGGCAAAGCAGCTTATAACGTACAAGCATTTGAGGAACAATGAGGTGCCAACGCAAGGCGATGCGTGCATGGTGAGCAAACTGTCTAGGGAACTACAATAGTCGATGCCATAGTCATACAAAGCGTCATGGGCCGGAATGCCCAAACATTTGGTAAGCTGTTGATCCCACCACCATGTGCTGCAAGCGTGGTGAGGATGCGGAATGCAACCCACTCCCTTTAGGGAGACCAAAATGCTGAGCACGGGCGAGGGCGAGCGAATGCGAGCGCGAGGCTCACTCAATGCGTCCACCGATCACCAACACCCGCCGACAGGCGGGGGCGTGTATGTGCGAGCGAACGAACGCGAGCACTGCAGCCCGCTTTTTTTAGACACCGCGCCTGGCCGAGCCGATGACTTAGCGTAAGGTACGAGGGAGTGGGGCAGGCCGCGCAGCGGCGCTCCCCGAGCGAAGCGAGAGAGGGGCGGCCCCCCCGAAGTGCCGTTGCTAAGTCCGCAGGCGAGAGCCAACGCGCGAGTGTCCGCCCGTCATAGTTTAAGGTCAGGTGGTGACTGCAGGGCGACAGTATACCTTGGGGGGTCTGAGTGAGTGGATATGCATTCAGATGTAGGCAGGGGTCGCGTCACACTGGTGACGGTGGCCCACGTGAGCAGTCAGAGCCGACGGTGATCGACTTGACGATCGAGTTGTGTGGCGAGCGGCGGCACGGACCGTGACCGGATGGGTGACAAGGACGACGGACGGTGGCAGGAGCGAGTCAGGTGGCTCGAGCCACAGCGAGGAGGTCAAGGTTGAAGTATGGTGACTGCAGAAGATCGCGAGGAGGGGTGAACGACGGACGGTAACAGGGGACAAGTACCGACGAGGGCGAGACGACGTCAATGACCGCAGCGTGCGGCCAGCAAGGGACGAGAGCAGGGATGAGGCCCCGAAGGGGGAGAGGTCCAAGTTGTAGGAGTAGGAAGGCGCCGTAGGTAGGAGTAGATAGGTCGTCGGGGTGGGCAACGAGCCGCGGTTGCAGCTCGACCCTCAGTTGCAGGCCGACCCTCAGTTGCACTTTAGCTACAGGCTTGTGACTAGTCTACCGGAGCCCAGGTGCCGAGAACGCTCCCTCATTGCCGTCCCTATCTCGAAAGCGTCTGGTTGATGGGCCAGTAGTTGTCTGGTCGACCACTACGTCTCGCGCTTGCTGGCAGTCGGCCCCTACCCGTTGACCTAGGTGTTGAGTGTCTACTCTACTGGGAGAAACGGAGCGGGCACAGTGGACGTGCAATGAGAACGGGAATGCGGTTGGAGAAAGCTACACAGATATGGAAATCCCTCTCCCTCAAGTTGGAGTATTGGCCATAGATTCGACAGCCCGATAATAATTGAGTTCATGACGTAGGAAGGAGTAGAATATGGGCCCGGGCAAGAGATAAAAGCTTGTTTTGGAGAGCTGGCAAAACTGGAAAGCGAGAAACCAACTCAGCCGTAAAGCAAAATGCTACATTTTACACCAAGAACACCAAGGGACCGAGGTTGTTTAGCTGTGAAGTGCTCAGCAAAAAACACGGACAAGATGTGTAAAGAGTGTTGTGATAATTGATGTACCAAAGAGCAGTAGCAAGGGAGGGGGGGGGGGCATCACAACAACAGTATATACTAAGTTAGCGGCAAATGACATTTATATAGACGCAGTGGAGTATTCAGTCCACTTCGGCGGTTGGGGTGGGGGGCGTCCGTATCCCATTTCACTAAATGGGGTTCGTGTCGCCTCCAAAGCAACCCGTTTACCGGGATGCTGCCATACTAGTATACAGCAATATATCAGGTGTGTCAGGTATCGTTTAGTGCAGGATTGTCTGTTTACAGCGAAATCGATCACCAGCTGCACTTGCATATACCGGCATTGCAATGCAGAATGAGTTGCAGGAACAAAATATGTGCATGTGTTTGAAGGGGAAAAACTATGGAGCTCGAGGTTACGGAGCTCGAGGTACCAAAAATAGACAATTGGGTATGTGGACCCAAAATTTGAATCACCCTAAATTTTCACATTTGCTGATCTTGAAATTAGTCTAGAAAATTGCAAGATGCGGCACGGCTGCTAAAACAATACTGTACTGTACTTGCAATCGATGGATATGCAGGAAGCTCGAGGTCGCTGATGGGCCCACCTGAGGGCGCATCGAGTTCGATGCTGAGCCACTACCACCGTCTGAGGACGAATTGGTGTGGAAAAAATCTGAACATTTCTGCCACGATCTGCATTTTTTCATATTCAGAGGCGTTGGCACCATCCTTGGTCTCGCTGAGCTGTGAGATCTGAGCAAGGTCGGCCTGCATAATGTCTCACTGTTATCTAGCGCCACCTTTATTGTCCTCCGATGCCTCCGATGGCTATCAGTATTATATATTCCTCCAGATTCTTTGATCTACGAATTGGAGGCCAGCAGTGTTTCAGAATCTTGTAGCAGGTACTTGTAAATAAATGTCCCCGACCTGTACAGTAAGGCTATACATTGCTGCACATCGATGTATTCCTGCTGGAACATACCCGGGTAAAACTAAGGAAAGCATGTGAAGTATGTAAGGATCTTTCCTTTTGAACCGAGGTGCATTTTTGGACTGCTCGAGTTCCAGCTCGACTTGTAGCAATGGCTAAAAATGGAAATTCGATGCGATCTACATGCAAACCAAGCTTGCAATCATATACGCGTCAGCATACTCCCTTTACTGCGGAAATAACGATAAGGTGGTTCTTCACGACCTACTTGTTTACGCAGCAACTAATGCCTTGTCGATTCTCCAAGGATGGGACACAAACATAAGCTAAAATGGACCATTACGAATTAAAATTTCACGCACTTCCGCTAAGATCAAGAATGTCAGTAGTCGCAACCCGAACTTAGGTACCGGTGGTCGTGTGGAAGTTGATCCACCAACTTCTCGTAGAGCCTTTCGTATCTCGGCTCGGTAGCTCCTCCGATCTCCAGGCGCTTGGCCAGCGTGGTAGGCGTCTCTCCGTGCTTCATCATGTGCTGGAACGCCTTCTCGAGCGCGTTCGACTTCCACTTGGCCCATCCGTTCTTGATGGAGCTAATCAAGCTGAAGAGGCCTCGCTCCTCATCCTCCGTCTTGTCGCCAGCCGTCGTCAAATCTTTCTTGGCATCGCCTCGCAGGAATGGCTTGGTGTTGTCGTCGTCGGTCTCAGCAGTGAGCAGGCGAGACAGCTCATCGATCTCCGAGTCCGTCAACTGTGACACTGTAATGTCCTTCGAGTCGGTGACGGTCGCGGTCGCGCTGGCGCTTGAGATGAACGTGACCAAAGTCACAAGCAGAACCCACAGCAGCAGGCGCATGCTTGGTAAGCTTACGGCGGAACGAGGGGCTGAGTGCCGGAACGCGAGTTTCGAAGTGAGCTCGAAGTCTCAAAAGGCACGCAGCGCACTGCACTCCCCTGCGTGCGCCTAGAGAAACCTCGTCTACGGACAGCAGAGCATGATCCGTATCCTAGGCCTTTAATCCTGGGATGGTGCTGCTGCCGATCTTTCCTCGAATACACAGGGCAACTCGCTGCCAATACAGTTCCAAATGCTTACTGGCAAACTATTTGCATGTGATCTGAATTCGTGCTTTAATGAAAGGACATGCTTTTTAATTAAGGTTGGGCTTGGAATGTGCCCTTCTCAATGCGCTTATCTTGTTATCATTGTGGTTTTACTATTTTTCAAGTGACTCCAGCATTTCTGTTGTCAAGGCGTCATCCGGATCATGCGTAAGTAAATATCAAAAACACCGTCCGTTTTCGCGTGCAATACATGTACCAGCAAAAACACCGTTTCGAGAGACGGGGCTGAGTCAGTCAGTGGTCGATCAGGTGAGCGGTTGTGAGGAGCGTAGCCGCAGCAAATTGCCCGCGAAGCAGGGCCGCGCGGTATTTGCGGAGGCGGGCCCAGCGACGAGCATTCCAGCGAGCCGAGCACTGCTCTCGGTAGAACATACAATCTATAAATCGCGAGCGAAGCGAACCGCGGGGGCGCCGAAGGGGCGCCCAGCCAAGCGAAGCGCGGCTGGTCACTGTCACTAAACCAAGGCTATTGTTGCATCGAAACCCACATAGCCTCCTTCAAATCCGTATGGATAGTTGTTGTGTGGTGCAAATCCGAGGCACTGCGGTACGGTGCTGAGAGCACACTTCTGGTTTTTTAGAGGGTACTCCCTCATCATCAGACCCCTTTAAAAGTGGCAAAATCAGAAAATTTTCCATCTTTTCCACTTTCTGGCGAACCTTAAAGGTGGAGCAAATTTTGGCAAGAATGACCAGAATTCAAGTCCCTTCTGAACGATACCACGCACAATACCATGTCAAAAGGGCGCTGACACAGTACAGATGCATGCCATACATGGCGGAAACTGCGAAAATGCTGTTGGAGTCGACGAACACGACTGTGCTTCTATTCGTAGCGAAAGCGAAGTTCGCACGTTATAGCTCATCAACGCAAGCAGTATGATTCATCGACGCAAAGGCGTCATAGGTGTACTATGCGGTAAACGAAGCTAGGAAGCAAGACGGGGTTCCCGTACAGCCACGAAGGGGGACACCATGCTGCCACGCGTACGCAGGTATGCGGTTGCCGCTGTTGTCAATTTATACATTTGCGTATTTTGATCGATGTAAAACGATGGCAGCGAGGGCAGCGATCCGATGCACAGCGAGCTCGCAGTCTATCACAAAAGGTATCCATAGATAGGGGTCAAGTACTTACTACTGACCTGCAATGTGTCTGCCACCTTTAGGCTCGTACTTAGCCAGACGGTTAATAATTATACTTGGGTACTGTATTGATTCCACTTTTTCCACTTCCTGCCGAGATAATGTGCCATTTTAAAGCAAAAAGTGGAGAAATTGACAATTGCCACTTTTAAAGTGGTCTGCTTATCATGCGTGTCAAACGATCGACGACAAACACTCTCTTCTGTCGACGCATGTACCGCAAGCATGAACACCAAACGAGAGCGTTGAGTTGCGAAATCTACAGTAGCTTACATGTAGTTCCCCTGAGCGGTTCTTTGAAAAAATACGAAATAGGCAAAATACAAAGTACGGGGGATCGATTCTGCATCTCGCGTTCTAATAGAGTACTGGCATGCGAGCCGAAGAAAATACTGTCTCGTGCACAGTGTCTGGCGGCGACATAAACCGACTGAGACATCGCGTTCAAAGCCTACAGGAGAGGTACATGTATGAAGGGACCTTCAGTCATTACAGTATAAACTCCTTAATTTCTCCTCCTGCATCGAGGGAAAACATCACTGTCTGTTGACTCAACTGCTCAACAGTGTTGAGTGAGAAAATTACATAAACACCGACAGAAATCGCACATAGGCGACCCGGAGCGAACGCTCCGGGGGAGTACACAGGTCGAATTAGTCAAAAGTTGACCTCTGAAACTGGTATTTACCAGCAATAATGGCTCGATCTCAGCGAAACATGTTCAAATCGCAAGTTAGTTTTGTATGCGAGCCCGACTTGGAGCCATTTCTGTTAATAAGGCTTCAGAAATCAATTGATGAACATTACAGTAGCAAGATAACGTTGTTGGCAAGAATGAATAGTTGCTAAATAAACCGTTTGGTGACAGTCGACTAAGTCGAGTTCTTGAACTACGTCAAGAAGATACTGAGGACGACCAGTGTCTCATTTTGGCCTGGAAACTTAACAAAGTGGCCATTAAATGTTCTGGGTCGGAGCAAAAACTTGGAATCCATTCACAAACTATTCCCCGTATGCGGAGCTGCTGCCGTGCGCGGCTCCGGGCGTAGCCAGCCGACATAACCGCTAATTTCATTTCATTCCACTCACAAACTATTGAGCTAGGCCAGCTAGATATACAGAGAGAGAGAGAGAGAGAGAGAGAGAGAGAGAGAGAGAGAGAGAGAGAGAGAGAGAGAGAGAGAGAGAGAGAGAGAGAGAGAGAGAGAGAGAGAGTTAAAGCTACTGCAGAATCCTGCTGCTATGAATTTTGATGCCACTATCGTATTGAGTGGGGAAAGTATCCAGAGAGTGCCTGGTGCGCAGCATGTGCGGCGCACCGAAGTCGCTTGTGGACGAACTATTCCAGCACCCGCGAAACCTTAGTAGTCAATCGTCAGAGTTTCGCGAAATGAGCGGCATTTGCTCATCTAACAGGTAGATAGATCGCTCTCTCTTTTTATTTTTTAAATTAAAATTTACGCAACTCATCGCTTCGTCTACATTCGAACCAGAGCTCGTTATGGGCCAGAATGCCACCTATAATAACATGCAGGTATCCAAATCTGCAGTGAAGACAATATTAACACCTTCCGTTGCATGTTTGGCGAGCATGTCTGATGAGACGATGTACTAAGCTTTCAACATTTGAGACGTACAGCTTACATAGCTCGATTTAGCAGACATGATAGCACGAGATATTGACAAGCGTTGCCCAGCTAGAAAGTATGCTTCAGCGGATGCATAGCGTAGATGATTTTGTTCGCAGTTCGAAGAACTGTCGATTGGGGAAGGTTTTTGGATGACATCGAACGACATTCGCGCTACATTCGTAGCTTCCCCGCCTAGCGGATGACATCGAACGACATTCAAGCCACATGAAACCTGGGATCTTCCTCAATCAATTCAGCTCTCGGATTGACAGATAGATAGACAGACAACTGATTGAGAATTATAAGTTGAAATCGTAGCCTGCTAGCTCTGTAATAAAGTTGCGCCTGAAGTCACATCGTAGTCGCGGAGCTCGTGCAGTGTGCCGTTCCGCCACGCTGGGGGTGAAAGACTTTCAGAAGTTCAAATGGAGTAGCCACGCACGTTGAAAGCCACGCCTGGCCACTTGGTGACCAGTATGATACGTACACACTTGCTCAAGAAAATATGTGTATTCGATCGCCTTACTGGTATTATTCTAAAAAAAAGCGTCTCCACTTTATGCTAGGCCTCGAAGGTGGTTTGAACCAGTTCTCGACCCAAAAATTCTGGGGTGGATCCGCATTCATCAAGGAAGGATAAGTGACCCGAATCGACGATTACTTGATTCATTCCATTTCTGGGCTTGCTCGCAGAAACGAAACTTTAATTAAAAACTGGGCCTGTTCGTTGGGCACTTGCCTGATCGGCTTAGCCGTAGTTTGTTTTTGATGTGAACCAGGTTTTCCAGCTTAGACATGAACACACGGGTTCTACAGACTACGACGAAAATATCTGGCAAGATGAAGTCCGGTAGACAAGGTCGTGCAACGAACAACAAGAAATTCGCCAGCCAATATGATGTGCTGTTTTGTACTTCATAGTTTTGTGACAGTTGACGCGTATTTTATGTCGTGTCACAGTATTCTCAAATTTTACATATACGTTAGAATCGCCAGGTGTTGAGCCGCGCTGAAGGGCAAGATCGTATGCAACCCGAGAAAGTCGACATTTACGTTTTTTTGTCGAAAGAATGCAAGAATGCAGCCCGTGCTACCTTGTTCGTCGTAGTAGCATGCATCGTATAGCTAGCTACTGACAACTATATTCTACAACGTTGAGCTCAATGTTAGGCATACGTCCTGATGATGCTGATCGTGAGCCCAACCACAGCTTCCAATAAACTATACGGGCATTATCACAGCACTACGTCGTACTTGTATAATATTACATATTATGTATTAATAATATGTTCAGAACACTTAAAATTTACTTCGAAGTAGTACTTTACTGACCCCATTGGCTTTGATACTATCGACCCGGTCGTATTGTATGACCTCCTCTTTCAGACACACTAGAAGATGATATTGCAAACGTATTCCACATGCATAGTTCTATGAGCCGGTTGACTACGAGACTGAAACCGATTAATTGGTCATGTAAATTTATCCTGGAAGAGGGAATTCCTGCACATTCATTGGAACGAGTCTTTGTGGATTAGGCACGACTTCCACGAATAATATTAAAGTTGTGCGAGCCAAGGTAGCTTGCTTGCTACTGTTTCTATTCTTATTTGCTGAACCCCTTTTAGGTAAAAGCAAAACTATCTTGAGATTGACAGGATACCATGTTGTCACTGAATACGATGTATCCGTATTTATGATGATTCCTTCAGAAAACGCCTTACACCCATACACAGCGGCAAGTAGAGCTTTGGCATATGCATGTATCAAGTGAAAACTAATTACACCGATTTATTGCTGCTAGCCGATACGCTGGCAAAAGTTACGACCTCTTAGTCAACTGCGCTTCGTTTAGAACCTCGAGCCGCTTTTGTTTTTTTAAGGCATGTTTTGTTTTTGAATGATTAATTTTGAATGATTGATCTCGACAAGAGCCCATCGAGTTTGGTTTCATTTTGTAGCATTTTAGCGGTCCGAACTACCCCATCAAACAAAAATCTTTGTTTGAGCTTGCAGCAGACGAACCGAAAGCACTTACCAGGTATGTATTCCCCGACTTGTGAGGTTGAAGCAGAAGGTTGAAGCAGATGCAGCGTGTTCAAGCTGTAAAATGTACTACCGGCGGGACCGGCGCTATAAATTCGTCGATTTATTGATGCTCGTCACGATGGCAGCTAGTCTGAGCGACATGCATCCACAATAGCGGTCTAGTACAGGTACAAAACTAAAGAAGACTTCCAATATCTACTGCCTACACATCACCTTACCCGGCAGTTGCTGCGGCTGCGAAGCGGGTGCAGGAGATGCCTGTGAATAGCACAAGGTTTTTGATAATGTTAACGGGAAATTGCGCGCGCGGAGTCTGCTGCTTGTTTTAATTTTAAGTACTTACTTGGCTACGAGATATCCGACGATGTAAGCTAGCGTCGCAATTTTAATTTCTTTTTATCTAGTACAGGTTGATTTGGTTTTATTTTTTGTGTGAATACAGGCTTGTCTACTGGGCGAACCTCATCTAAAACTATTTCGGCGTACATTACCCTTCCTTAGCTCTAATGCTTCAAGTAGCTTCGAACTGCGAAACCCCCCGGGTTCACCACCCGGGTCACCAATGAAATCCTTAGCAACCATTCACAGAAGCAGTAATAACTCGTAATTTTTAGTCTTATCTTAGACTTGTCCTTGATTTTAGTGCTAAATTTAGCAAACAACCCCTGAGCTACAGAGTAATACTTGTAGCCATTCGTAGCTTTAAATGTACTATTTTACATTAACAAGTACTCTATTTCGGTTAGAAAGGTACCCGGTTTCGGTAAGTTACAAAAAAATTCTGCCGGCCAAGCACAGCTCTTCGACCTGTGAACAGCACCACAAAATGCTCGAGCACCACTCCATGGGCGGGGCGACGCAGTAACTTCATAGACAGGGCGCCAACGGAGGCGAGCGGTTGTGAGGAGCGTATAATAGCCGCAGCAAACCCGTGTGGGGAGCCCGCGAAGCAGGGCCGCGCGTTATTTTGCGGAGGCAGGCCCAGCGACGAGCATTCCAGCGAGCTGGGCCAGGTGAGAGAATCTATATATCGCGAGCCAAGCGAACAGCGGGGGGCAAGCGTAGCGCGGCCGGTCACTTCTATGCAATTACCTGTGACACTCGATTATGCCTTTCTGCGTCGCTGGCACTTTGACCTCTAAAGTTTAACCAAGTCAAGATGATTTGAAGGTGCTGGTCGAGCACTTTGCAGTGGCCGTGTCAGGTGCCCGTGTTGAGCACGCCGTGCTACCGTGCTCAGCACGGTGGCAATGAAGAACTTGTAATTTGCGTGGAGTGTACGAACATTCGAGCTGACCGTGTTTTTATTTTAAAAAAATAATAATACCGATAGTTGCGCTCTACAGTACTTATCTTTCTCGATTGCTGAGCGTCTTAGTGACTTTCTGAAACGTATATGAGACAACGGCAACATAAATGTTGCTTATCCACCATTTAGAGTAATCGAGATAATCGCCTTAAAAGAGGCCAGGTTCAAAACCGTAACTAAGCGAAGTCGTGAGAAAACGAGGAGTTTTGATTTTCAAAAATTTGAAGGGGGTGTATCGGCACGGATACCATTTCGAAAAGCCACTCGGACCACTACCTACAGCCATGCAGACACCACCCACGACGCCGACAGCACCGACCTCGCGCGCTGCAGCGCCAACTGCGCAGCCTGCGCAACCTCCAGCGCTGCCTCTCTCAGCCTCGCCACCGGCCACCTCGGCGCCAAGCCCGCCAGCCACGGCTCCGAGTCCGCCAGCCGCGACGTCGGGTCCGCCAGCCACGACATCGCCCTCCCAGGCGCTGACTCCGCCGGCCACAACGTCCCCCTCCACGGCGCTGACTCTGTCGGCCACGGCACCCCTTGCTGCTCGGCGTCGCGAAGGAGATGAAGAGCCTGATTCTGCCGACGATTCTGTCTGTGATGTCGATCCCACTGCTACCAGTGAGAGTGAGGTGAACGAGGACAGCGGCGACGACGACTTTACGCCTGATTCGGAGGCGTCGCCCAGCGACGACGAGGAACCGCTCACAGCAGAGAGCGCGAGCAGTGAAGCCGAAGATGAAGAGGATATTAGAATCTTTTTGAATGACGCGAGTCCTTGAGCCCGAGTGACTGAGGTGATTCATGCGGACGCGTGTGAGAACGAGTGCGTCAAGGGCAAGGCTCGTGAGTTGGAGATTTTGCTGTGCTCGCTGGACCAGATGACGAAGCAAGAGCGCACCACGAGCTTGTACACGCTCCTGGCTGTGTTGATGCAGACCCCCACGGTTGAGCGTAAGAGAGGACGGGGTGACCGTGAGAAGTTTCCGTACATCCTCCCCTACGTAGTTCATGTGTGCCGACCCACTTTCGCGCTCTGCTATGGAGTAGTCCCCATTACCTTGCAGCGCTACAAGATGCGCATCCGAGACGGTAACATGTCGATCAAGGCGTATGGTAACCGGCTCAACACGCATGCAGCTCGTAGAGGCTGTTAGTTCGGCGTCCAAGAGCCCAATCACGGTGCATCTGCCGCGCGGAAGCTCAGCGTTCAAGTCCTACAAACCTATTCTCAGCGAATTGTACAAACGACTTGACGGCATCCAAAAGTTCCAGATTTTCACGATGGACACATCGCAGCCGGGCGTCGTTGTCTGCAAGAAAGGCCCCGAGAGCGAACCTGTAGAGATTAGTTTGAGCCGTCAAATTGACGGGATCTTCACCACGATGGAGAAGCGGCAGCGGATGATGACGGACCATATCGAGACACTGTCCCCTCTTGTCCGCAACACCAAGAAAATTGCGCAGATGTACCACAACACCAGGCCCTACGTTCCTGCTGAATTTCAGAGCGATCCCCTCTACGCCAAGCCTAGCGAGCGGGAAGGAGAAGATGCCAAGTCACGGAAACAAGCATGACGTGAGCATCGCGCGGCAATGGCCGTGGTGGCTAAGGCTAACCAAGACCAGCGTGGTATCACGGAGGCTGTTGCGACGAAAAAGAACCCAGCAAAGAAGAGGGCTACTGCAGCAAAGAAGACGCAAAAGAACAAGAAGCACGAAGCTACTGCGGATCTGCCTGCTGAGCAAGAATAGGCAGCCCAAGGTTGTAGTCGATCATTATGATACTTATGTCCACAGTTCATTCAAAATGTTACTTACATCCAGATATCAAATTTTCTAAAACAATTCAAAAATATACCCCTGGTGATTTGAAGTGACGGCACAAAAGTGAGATTCTAACACTGTCAGGCTTCGAATTAGCTAAAACGGACAACATTGTCGGATTCGCTGACTAATTTTACACCAGTTCATCAAAACAAAAATTCCCTTTCGGGGTTGAAGTCGGACATATATTTTTTTACGGTCTCGTTCTCGGTCGTTTCTTCATACCAGAAGCTCGGGAGGGGCTCAAACGAAAGAGGAGACATCCCTCTTTCCAATTATGCGCCTAAATCGCGATTCGTACTTAGTTTGATAAGTAACATTTTGTTTGCCGTCGTCTCGTATTGTGTGTTCTGTTCAAAATTTCCGCGGGCGGTTTGTTGAACCGCCCAAGCCAAATCTCCGGCCAATCACCGTGGCCACTAGGATTGGTTTTAGGCACCCGTTTAAGTACGAATTGGTCTTGACATGCGGGCACTTGGACCATATGGTTTGGGCCCGGAGATTGAGCAAATGACTTGAGTTTTGTATTTGGCGATTGGAGCGGGGTCTCCAAACCGCCGCGATTTGGAAAATTTGGCCGGAATTCACAATATCCATAGCAACCATTGGAGCGAGTAGATATCAATCGATACCCCTAAAACGTTTGCGGCGAGAAATGTTCCCAAGCTATAATTGCCCTCCCCCCCCCGATTGCGACCTATTTCGAGTTGTTTTTGGTTTGTCCGTTCCCTGCAGCCTGCAGACGCGCCGTCATACACATCTTCGAGTGGAAGCATGAGCTTCCTGGACCGCTTCCAGGGCAAAATCGCTACGGTGACGGCGCAAGGCCACTTGAAGAAAGCGGATGGGAGCGAAGAAATTCGCGTTGGGGCCCCAAAGCGTAGATCGCAGCCTCAGCAGCATGAAAAGCAACCGCAGCAGCGTCCTACCGGGAACAACAACATGAACCACGACAGCAATACCAGTCAAACCATGTTGAGGCAGCCAACGAAGGTCCAGGTTCGTGCAGACCGCGGTCAACCTGCAGTAAGTCAAGCAGCACCCCCACCCCCCATTCATACGCAGCGTTCACCAGCAAAAAATGCACCGTACGAACCTCCAGTGGTGTCTCCGAGGGGCAAAGCAAACCCGTACGAGTCCAAGGGTGCTCGAGGACAGGCCAACTACGAGTATTATGAGCCAGCTCGCATCCCCGGCCGCGTGAGAGACGACTACGCAGACGCCCAAGCTCCTCGCCAAGCCCTTTCAATTCGGCCTCCAGACCGGACCGTCAAGAATGCACCAACACAAAATTCGCCGAAGGAGTGCCGATCCCCGAGAGAAATCAACGAAAGCCGCGTCATCACGGATCAGGACCAACTCGCGTTCAGTCGGAAGGCTCGCCCCGTGCAGTACGAGCCTTGCAAGCTGTCCCAGTACAAGAAGGAGAAGCCGGACGGATACTACGAATTGGGAAAATTGCAGCCGGACCTCAATACCGACGAACTTGTCGAGAAGCGCGCCAAGAATGAACGGATCAAAGCCTTCTCGCAAAACCTGCGCGTCATCAACAAAAACGCCCAAGCCAAGAAACCTACCGAGTCCGGTAATGAGCAGAAAGCCACTGCGAAAGCCAAGTCAACGCGGGAGAAGGGGCTTGCGTTCGCGAAACGCGTGCCCAAGCCACGGCTGTCGCAACGATCGGACTCGGCAGAAGGAGATCTTCCGACTGCAAGTCTGGGGACTGCCCGCACGCAGGCGCAGATCCCGACGGCGAGGAACCCGAACACTGTCATCGACGACGACTCGGACGACGATGAGCTCAGTGCCGAGCTGCAGCAGCTCCAGCAACGCCACGAGGCCTCCCGTGCCGAAGTCGAGGCCTTGGTTGGATCCGTGTAGGCGACCTAAGCAGCCACCGTCCCAGTGCATTGTGATCGGGAACACATATCAAAGCACTCAGTCACAGATACCTTGTGGAATTAACTTGCATTATCCCCAGGCCTGCGTCAGGCTGTAGTTTAGCACCAATACATTCCCCACTTGAAAGCTCTACGACGACAAATACGAAAACACAAAATCAGCTCCTTGAACGAATTTCTTGACCAAAATCTTTTTTTTCCACCTCAAACAGTGAGCTGAGCCTCTGGTCCGGTGACGGCGCAAAGGAGCTATTGCAATACACAAACTACCACCACACCCAGAAGCCCAGTTATAAAACTCGATCCAACTCAATATCCACAAGAGCATTCAGCCTACCAAGGACTCATTGTCCTTGAGTCGGAGCTGCTTCCTCAAGAATTTGTACACCTAGGCGGAATAAAACCCCGTTAGCATTGCATTAAAAGACCCAATCCTCACCCAGCCCAGCCCACAAGATCTGATTCCACCCACCACACTGAGCTGGTCGTGCCCGCTGACGGTGAACTTGGTGCGCTTCATCAGCGGTGCGCTGCCCACCGCCACAAACTGCAGCGTCACTGCCACCACCACAACAACGTCAGCCAGCCCATTCACTCAGCCAATAGTCTCCTTCTTCCCCACCTTTCGCTGGGCCCAGAGGCCTCGCCGCCGCCGCTGCATCCGCATCTGCCATGCCTCGAACTTAGCAGTTCAAAAGTGACAATCACTCCTATGTTCGCCAACTATATGTGCGCCACACCATCTTCCCATCTGAAGATCTCTCTTTTTCCAGCCAATCGCGTCGCGCCAACTCCCGTTTTATTTTCTCTATCCGCACCTCAAAGAGACAAAGAGACACCAGTCTCGCTGACTCCTCTTCTTCACCACGACGCCCGCAAGCGACTCAGACTCAGACTCGGAGGCCATGTACACCCCCGTGGGCGAAACGGACCCCATGCTCATGAGCCCGAGCGGCGGCAAGGAGCGGCGCTCGCCGCCCTCGAGCGCCGTCAACAGCCTCCGCCTGGAGCCGCCGGCGCCCAAGTGCAACGACTGGCTCTACGCCGCGCTCTTCCTCTCCAACGTGGTGGCTCTGGCCGCGCTGGCCTTCTGGAAGGGCGTGCCGGCGCTCAAGGAGGACATGGGGCGCAACCGCAGCGACGGGCGCGTGCCCACGGGCCACTCGGTGGCCGGGACGATGATCGCCGTGCTCTGCGTGCTCGGCACGCTGCTGTCCCTGGCCTGGATCAAGCTGCTCATGGCGTACGCGGCCTCCATGATCCGCGTGGCGCTGTGGCTCAACGTGTTCATGGTGCTGGGCTTCGCGGTCACCACCTTCTCGGTCAACGCGTGGGCCGCGCTGGCCTTCCTGCTCATGGCCGCCATCAACGTCTGGTACATCTACGCCGTGCAGAACCGCATCGGCTTCGCGTCGGCCAATCTCAAGGCGGCCTGCACGGCGCTCAAGCAGCACTCGTCCGTCTTCGCGGTGGCCTTCGTGCTGGTGCTGCAGCAGCTGGCCTGGATGTTCCTCTGGGCCGTGGCCGCGCTGGGCATGCACCAGATCTTCCTGGAGGCGGACCCGGACTGCGACCGCGAGATCGATCTCGCCAGTCGCGGACGCAACCATGGAGGCCTCTGCGTGGGACTGCCGGCTTATGTGGCGCTGTTCTACATGCTCGTGAGTGTGTACTGGGGCCAGCAAGTGCTGCAGAACATCCTCACGTGCACGACGGCGGGAGTCGTCGCGACCTGGTGGTACCAGCCCCACGCCCAGAAGGCCACGGTCGGCGCGCTGTATCGCTCCGTGACGACGAGCTTCGGATCCATTTGCTTCGGCTCCCTGATCGTGGCGGTGCTGCAGGCGCTCAAGACGATGGCGAACATGGCCAGACGCCGTGCCAATGAAGAAAACAACAACGGACTCGCCTGTCTGGCTTGCATGGCCGAGTGCATCGTCAGCTGTCTGGCGGACATTATGGAGTACTTTAACCAATGGGCGTACGTGTACGTCGGAGTGTACGGCTACCCGTTCCGCACAAGTGGAAAGGCTGTCATGGATCTGTTCAACAACCGCGGATGGACGGCCGTGATTAACGACGACTTGACCTCGGGCGCACTGTCGTTTGGTGCGCTGGGTATTGGTATCGTCACTTGCTGTGTTGGTCTGCTGATGGTGCGCTTCTCCCCCGTGGAGTGGTTCACGGCGCTGGGGTCCCGTATGAGCGTTTACGGAACGATGGCTCTGATTGGGTTCATGGTAGGCTTCACAATGGCTCTGATCTTGGCTCATGTGATCATCGCAGCACTGCACACGATTTTCGTTTGCTTCGCAGAGGTAAGCGACTGATGTCCTGTGTTGTTTTCCTGTTAGTGGTGGTACTGAACGCGATGTGTTGATGTTTTGCCTACTAGGACCCTGTTGCGTTCAACCGCAACCACCCCAAGGAGTATGATGACTTGGTGTCTGGATGGCGCCAATTCCACGGGGACGCCTTGCTGTCTGCTTACGGTTCGGCTGTCTAACTCTGCGGTTGAGAGTTTTTTTCTGGTGAGAATCCGTGCTACAGAGACGGAGTATGAGATCGCAGCACTGCAAAGCAATAAATACGAAGACTTTTTTTACGCATAGGACAGTCACACCTCTATAAATGGCACCCAGTTCGCTCGGTCTAATACGCTGTTTCAGTTAAAGAATTGAGCAGATAAAGAAATGGCTACATTTCTAATGGCTACATTTTCATATGTTAGGTGCACAAGGGCTTTCTTTACCTGGTACCCCTCCAGCATTTTCGTATTCTGGTTTTGTTTCGTCTTCACACAATCAGAACTCAACCAATAACGGTAGGCGCGGTATTGTCTGTTCCTATTCCTTCTTATCATTGGTATTAGCAGAGTCGCATCCCCTCAGGTTGTACGTGAGTTTCAATTTAGTGAGGTTATAGGAATATTTGTTGTCCCGATATCCTGCCAGTTTTATCTTTTGCTTGGTATCTACTGCATAGCCCCTAGTTGTCTCGACATCATAATATTTTAGTTTTTCGTAAAATATATATGTACGCTGCGCTGATTGTAAAATACTGTGGCTAACTTATTTATCACAAGCTTGCAGTTACTGCAAACTCTTTGCTCCAACTTAGCATCCCAAATACAATTTCTCTCTTCGCTCGATTTGTTGTGGCGGGAGTAGTGGTAGCAATGGCATACGTGGGAGGAGGCAGGCAAGTGATAGAGAAAAATATATGAGTTTGGATCTATTACTACGGCGTCCATTTAGAGGGTTGAGGCGCCAACAATGGCGACCATTTAGAGAATAAAGAGGTTTTTGATCCATTATTGAACACCTATAGTGAGATTCATATAATCCCGTTTGCAGTCGAGGAATCCTAACCAGATAGGGAACACATGGTCAGTTAGAGGGGTTCATTTAGGGAGGTGTCACTGTACTTGCAGTGAAATGTCAACGCTACAGATCCGTATGGACTAGTGGCTAACGTCTCTGCGTCGGTGTCGAACTACAAACATCTTCTTCGTCAGCAGTTTTGCCTGGTTTTAGCATCGCTACCTCATACAGTCGTGCTCCAGTTCAACGAACGACTTCTGATTGAGCGCGTAGGATTGGCTGCTTCTGGAGTAGCAAGCGCAGCTATTCGGCCACACTGCTGCGTTCGCTGCGAACTTGGAACACATCTTTATCCGCCTCGTGGATAAGGCTGTAGGTACAGTCATTCATCACGCGCGTCTCCGTGCATGCAGGCGAAAAGGGGCAGGAAGCAGTTGTTATCCCGACGGGGGTTACTCAGCTTCGTCGGCGTATGCTTTACACGCTATCATTATGTTGTGATACGCTCGAACAAATAACCAAGCGGTTCATCGTGGTGCGCTCTCGTAGCTTGTCTTCAGCTCAGTGGAGCTGAGCTCGGTTTTACTGGTAAATAATCATTATAATGCTGGTCTCTTCCACAGATTCGCGAGGAACAGCTTTGCCAATTCGGCCGCGGCCATAGTCGCAGAGAACACGCTGACAATTACCAACAATCGAGAGCGGCACGAAGATAGTCAGCGAAGCCAGCCAACGACCGAATACGAGAACTACCCATCTGGCACTGCGATGTCTGTTTAGTCCAGAAGCACGTGCAGAAGCTTGCCAACGACTCGCTTGAGGTCCTCATCTGTAGGTAGATCGGCGGTAGCATCTTCGATAAGCGTAGCATCGCACGATGCGCTTTCCGTTGTTGTCGTTCGGGTATTCCAGCTCAATAAACGTCCATCGATTGAAGTTGGTGACAATCCCTCGCACAGCCTTGCTGCCGTTCTTCAGTCGCTTTGTGTTGGCAATCTCCATTACGGCTTGTGCGAATCCGTTCTGCAATTCTTCCTCCGGATTTTGCACGCTTAGTCATCATCTTCTTCCTCTTTCCTCTCTTCATTGGTCTTGTCGTCCTCGCTGTCGTCTTCGGATTTGGCGGTGCTGATCTTCTTCGTCTCCATCACGCGTACAAACCTTTTTTCGTAGTAAAAGGAGAAATCCGCAACACCTCGCCAGGATTCTATCTGCCGCCGGCTTCAGCGGGTACTGCATGCGAATCTTGACACTTCCGTCACCCACCGCGTCAAGCGCCTCATTAAAGAGATTGAATAGAATCGTCGTGCATTCTGCTTCAGTGTCACTGAAGCAGAATGGACACTGAATCAGTGTCCATGCGTTGCATCCGCCGGAAATTATTTTTCAGGCGTGCCTGAATCGCTCGAACAACCTCGGCACTTACTGGATGGACTGGCTGTTCGTACGTTTCCTCCTCGTAGAAGTTACGAATGGTGTTCCAGCTAATCTTGCTCAGACTAATTGGTTTGCCATTATTCAGCTTCGGGAGCTTCTCGTTCAGAGCGTCCCAGTACACTCGTCGCTTCCCGAGCACCCCCGTGGGCGCGCGTCGAAGGGAATATTCGGGGCTCAGGGCAATAACGTGAATGGACTGCAGGTCTGCAAACGGATTCCCCAAATCGGTCAGCGAATTCGCGCGTTTCGACATGAACGCCTTCACCCGACTTGTGGTTTCCCCGCGCTTTAGTACTGCGGTTTCGTCTGACTCCACACCAAGCCACTTATCTTGTTCCTTCGCTACGTAAATGCTGATCGCGTTTGCCGGCGTTGACTCGAAGCGTTGCGGCCTAGTTCGTTTGATTCGCTGCCTCAACTCGCCTAGCGAGGCGATATCTGCCAATTTGACCACGAAAGCGTCATCGCCCGGGACCATGCATTGAAGCAGAGGAGCTACTGCGATCACATGAATGGCGTGCTGAGGAGCATTAGTGAACACCTTATCCACATGAGTGGTCTCATCGCATAACTCGGTGGTATAGACTCGATCCATGACACCCCTCGCATCAGCTCGCGCATGGTCGAGTTGAGGCAGCTGTACCCGTCCCGGCGGTACACCTCCCCTTCCACGTCCTTCACATAACCTTCGCGCAACATCACCCATTCACTCAGACACGCGCCTCTTCCATATTCAACGTCAGTATCGAATCTGAGAACCGTACGAGAGGTCGGCGAGGAAGGAAGGCACCCAGTCGCTAGCCACAGACGCGATGGCCTCGCGCATGGAGAACAGCAGCCGCGCGGCGCAGCTTTCGCCCGTCTGCAGCAGTGTCGAGGCGCAGCACGCGCAGCGCCAGAAGCTGCTGGACATGTGGGGGCGCCACGAGCTCACGGACGTCGTGCTGCTCCTGGAGCCCGAGGCACTCGGCCAGGAGACTCAGCAACAACAGGAGGAGGTGGCCGCGCACCGCGTGGTGCTGGCGGCCGCCAGCCCGTTCTTCCGCGCGCTGTTCACCGGCGGCATGCGCGAGTCTCGCCAGCCGACGCCTCGCGTGCCGCTGCCCGGCGTGCCCGTCGCCGCCTTCCGCGAGCTGCTGCGCTACATGTACGTGGGGGAGCTGCGCGTGGCCGGGGACACGATCCTGTCGGTGCTGCACGCGGCCAGCCGCCTGGAGCTGCAGGAGGTGGTGGAGATCTGCTGCAAGCAGCTCATGCTCCAGCTCAGCGTGCACAACTGCGCCGACATCTACGTGTGCTGCGAGCAGCTGCAGATGCGCGCGGCCTGTCGCCTGCTGGCGCGCGCGGCACGCGCTATGATTGACACGTTCTTCTGTGAGGTATACCAGAGTGAGGGCTTCAAGAACCTGTCGCTGGACGCGGTGCTCAAGGTGTTGAGGCACCAGGAGGTTAAAAGCTCGGTGGACTTGTCCGCGGACGACGCGGCGGTGAAGGTCTGGATAATGCACGACCCCACGACGAGGAAGAGGGAGCTGTCGGTCGCGCTGCAGAGCCCGCGGAGCTCTGGGGACGTCGCGCTGGATGGAATGATCTTGAGTCGACGGAATAGTGACAACGCCATGGTGAACAGCAAGGAGAGACTGTCGTTCATTGCAGCAGAGGAAGGGATCGAAGGTGATATGCTGAGCGAGATCGAGGACAACGCGCAGCAGCAGCTCACTCCGACCATATTCGTGGTTGGAGGGTTCAACAACCCCGGTGCGTTGAATACTGTGGAATATCTGGATTTCCATCGAGGCGAGTGGTTCCCGGCGGCGCCGATGGTGACTCGACGGTCTTACAGCGGCGTGGCAGTTGCTGGAGATAACAAGATTTACGTCATGGGAGGAACTAGCAGCAGCTCGCAGCACCACAAGACCATGGAGAGATACGACCCGGAGGCGAATGTGTGGACAGCTATGCCGCCGATGACACACGCGCGCAGTTACTTGGGTGCAGCTGTCGTGGGGGACTTCATCTATGCCGTGGGAGGGTTTAATGGACAAGCGCATTTGTCTTCCGTTGAGCGGTTTGATCTACGGAAGCTGCAGTGGGAGCAGATCCCGCCGCTGTCGACGGGGCGCAGCGGGCTTGCTGTCGTCGCTCTAAATGGCTTGGTGTATGCAATCGGTGGTTATGACGGCAGAAAGCATCTGAAGAGCGTCGAAGTGTTTGATCCACAGACCAATCAATGGACGTCCATTGCCAGCATGCGCTACGCGCGGAATGGCCCCGCGGCTGTGGTCCAGGAACACAGCAACAGCATTCTTGTGTTTGGAGGCGAGTCTCGGCATGGCGCGCGAATGAACACAAGTGAACGGCTGGACCTGAACAGCGGGATGTGGAGCGACGTCGACGCGTTTGCAGACTGTCGGAGCGGCCACGTCGCGTTCAGTTTTCTCAGTGAATCCTTCTTGTTCTGCCTGGGGGGCTCCAACAAGAAGGACGAGTATCTGGACACTGTGCATCGGTACGACTATTTATCGAAGCAATGGACGCTTCACTCACAGATGCGAGCCCAGCGCTGCGGCTTGAATGTCGCCGTGGTGAAAACAACCCCTCACGCCGAGTGTTTTGCGGCCCAGAGGGAGAAGGAACAAATGTACAAACCGAGCTCCTTCTGGCGAAAGCAACTCCGAGCCTTGTCCGCCCAAGGAGCATGATTCAAAGAGTTATACTTTAAGTAATGTAAATGGTTGGCACTAAGGAAATCAAGACAAGTTGTACGTGCACCATCCACCTTCAATTTCATTTCTCTGACCATGTTCCACCTGCACTCCAAGTAGGAGCGTTCGTTTATGACTTTGCACTACTGTAGTCCTATTCCTTGCTTCGGATCAAACTCGTGATTTTTCCGGCGATGCGTGCCATGTCTTCGGGCGTTGGCTCCTTGTTGGTGGACTGCGTCAGAACATCTCGGTCTGTGCTCACAGTGAACACATCGTGGTCGGGATTGTACTCCGTCTTGATGAATACCCACTCTTCGTAGTACCCACAGCACTTCTCGTCGAGTACGTGCTGACAATTTCCATGGGAGCAATTAAGCTATTCAAGTAGATTACCCTCGATTTGTTGCAACGTAAGTAGGTTTGTGTTACTACTTATAAGTAGGTTAGGGCCAAACCTACTTATCCGTTTTCTAAACGTTATATACGCTTTTATGATTATCTTATACATGTAAGCTACCGGTGTGACAGTCCCGGTAAACAGATCCACCCACATCAACAACTCGGTATTACCTTTGTTGGATCTGGGCAGCGACGGTATGTGATCCATCGCTATCATCTGGAACGGGTATGTGGCTTGGATGTTGCCAGGCGACTCGCCTTGGATCGTGGGCCGCCCTTTGCCGGTTTCGCAATCCACACACTCTCCGACATATTGCTGGACACTCCGATACAAGCCTCTCCAATGGAAGTAATCTCGGATCCGCTGGTAGGTACGGCCGATCCCTTGGTGGCCTCCTTCCAGACGGACAGGGTAGTGATGAAGGATACTCGCTGCAGCGTCTCTGGAAGCACTAGCCTCATCAATCCATCGCGATCCGCCTCCACCTTCTTCGTCGGAGGGCAGTAGAAGAGCAGGTCGTTCCGATCCACTTCGTAATCCATCGCAATAATACCGTAGGATCGGGCTTCCTCCTGCGTCAGACCTTGAATATCGCCCGCCAGATACTTCTTCAAGCCGGAAACCCACGTTTCCTCGTCCTGCGCTTGGCGGATCCTAGCCATCCGGAGGTCTCTCACCACTTCTTCCTGTAGGACCTGTGGATTGGATGTAGGTCGGGAGTTGGATCGGGATCTTGCACCAGCTCGGGTTGTTACGGGCGACACCCGAGCGTCGGGAGCATCCTCTTCAGTCTTCACCACCAGGATCTCATCCAGGCGGTTCAGGGTGACTAGATCCTGCATGTCCGCTTCATCCTCAACTATGATTCCGGCTTGACGTTGAAGTGCCACGCTAGCGAGACTGTCGGCACTACCGTTCCAGTCGCGCTTGACATGCACCAGCTCATGGTTGGGCCAAACACGTAGTAGATCCAGCACCTTCTGCCTCAACAGCGTCAATCCAGGTGCCTTGCAGTCGATATCATCTCGGACCTGGCGGACCACCAGATTGGAGTCACGACAGATCACAAGTCGTCGCTGCGCCTCGTCTTCGAGTAGATCCAAGCATAGCAGAAGTCCGTGATATTCTGCTTTGTTGACGGTAAGGCCTTCGGCATACCCGGATCTAGCCTTCACCACGATCCACCCTGGCAGTTTCCAAAGAATCGCACTGTCGGCGCCTCCTCGTCGCTTGACACGCGCCGATCCATCAAAGCTGAGCACATAGAGTTCTTCACCAGGTTGTACTGTCGGGATCGGAGCTTGGATCTTGCGTCGCGACTCCTTCTTAGGCGCGATGTCGATCAAGGCCCGATCCACCTTGGATCGGGGTGTGATACTGGCTGCCAGCGCTCCTAGGAACTCATCCTCGCCCTTTGCGCACTTCATAATTTCAAGAGTCCCTGGCGAAAGGAGTGCGGCCCACTGTCCTAACCGTCCTTACAGACCAGTGGATCGAAACAGCCAGGCCAGCGTCGAGTGCCTAGTCAGGACCCGGATCTGGCGACCCACCAACATATTGTAGCTCAGATCCAGAATCCGCAGCAGGGCTAGCACCTCCTTTTCGACGACGCCGTAATTGAGCTCGTTCGATTTCAGAGTGCGGCTGGTGAAGGTGACTGGGTAATGGATCCCGTCCTACTCCTGCATCAGAGCGGCCGAAATGGCCCACTCACTAGCATACACTACCACTGGCAGCAGATCCACATTGAAGTGTCGGAGGACTGGATTCCTCTCCATCTTCTCCTTCAGTGTCGCGAACGCCCGATGAGCTCGGATCCAGCGTAGATCCACATTGCCTGGGTCGCACGCTTCCGGATCCAACGTCCTCACGCCGACAGGATCCTTCGCCTCCAGGTCGGAAGTTTCCGTGGATCGAAGTCGTAGATCCACCGTCCTCATCCCTAATGGATCCGACGAGTCACGATCCATTGGGTCGGGGGTCGTCAAACCCATGGTGACTTGGATGCGCTTTTGGTTGTCCGGTTTACTCATCGCAGCGAAATCCACTTCTCGTAGCTCATAGAGAACTGCAGCGTAGATCGCATAGTCCTCCAGGAACCGACTGTAATAGTTAAGGCTGCCGAGGAATGACTGCATGGATCGGAGTGACCCTGGGAAGGGTAGATCCGTCAGGGCTGATAGATCCTTAGGATTCGCCTCCAATCCAGCATGGGACACTCGATGGCCTAGATACTCCACCTTGCTCTTGCCCCAGAAGCTTTTTACCACACTGATCGAAAGATTCCATTTATCACACGCGTCCAGCAGAGCATCCACCCGGTCGCACAAGTGGTCCCAGGATCCAGCGGTCACCAAGATGTCGTCAATGTAGGATCACCGTCCAAGTACCGACGGTTTGCCAGGGTCCTCAGGCTCTCCTGACCTCAGATCCAGATCCAGTGATTTCGATCCAATCCCACACGTGACCTTCGATCTGCTGTCCGATCCCGATCCACCTTCCAACTGTGGGATCCGGGTGAACCCATACAGCGCGTTGTCCAGCATCCGTTGATATATCTGAGCCGCATTCTTCCACCCGAAGGGCATCCGGTTCCACTCGTACAATCCGAACGGGGTGATGAAAGCGGAAATCGCACGAGCCCGATCGGTCATAGTCACCACCCAGAATCCACTGGCCTTATCCAACGAGCAATACCACAACACTTTGTCCAGATCCTCCAGTAGATCGTTAATCAAGGGCATCGGGTAGATCATCAGTCTGGTCAGATTGTTAACCAGTCGGTAATCAATACACAACCTTATATCCAATCCATTCTTCTTGATGATGACCACGATCGGGGATGCCCATGGGGAAGTTGAATCCTTAATGATCTTGGCACCGAGCAATCCCTTGATCAGATCCGAGATACTGCGGCGCCACCTTCCGCACACGCTGGGCAATGGGTTTAGCATCCCCGACATCGATGTCACACACGACGCCTCGCGCAGGAGGCAGCGCGTTGTCTTCGCCAATCAGCAGGTGTCGGCGCCTCCATATCCGTCGCCGAAGCCGGTCAATCTCTTCCGCCGTATTAACATCTGGATCCCCCACTTGGATGTCTTCGATTGTCACCTCTTGTGTAGCCGGAGTAACTTCGGGTAATACGGCCATCTCAGCTTCAAGGTCTTCCGCGTGTAGATCCCCACTCACATGGTAACAGACTTGGTCATCCGCCTCCGAGTCATTGTACCGCGGATTTTCAGTGGTCGTTGGATCGGGGCTGGCCGTTGGATCTGACGTCGGACCTGATTCCTGTCTCTTCTCTCCGTCTGGAGCTGCACCCTGTCCCATCTCACCATCTGCAACTTGACGTTCCACTGGATCCATGACCTGTCCCGTAGCACCATCTGTTGAATCTGCAGATCCGCCCCCTGTCTCTTCGTGATTACCACCCGATGCGACAACGGGATGGGCCGCCTGTCCCATATCAGCTGGATCTAGCCCCCCTTCGCAGACTTGCGTGCCAGTTGTCGGACCTTGGTCTGTCGATCCATCGTCTGATCCCAGCGAGTCTTCGACATTGGGATCGGCGTTTGGATCCAAGCCGGGCGCGCATTCAGCAGGAGCTTCGTCTGGATCGGGAGCGGGTGTACGATTAGGCGCAGCAGCTTGGGCTTCTTGCACCCGGGTAGACGCTACCCGGGGCACCCTCAGCTGTGTCGCTTCGCCGTCTGCTGCTGACACCGGATCTGACTCCGGTGGATGTTCAACAGTCCGTTCACCCTGTCCACACCCAAGATCCTGGGATCGGACCTGGGGGGATGGGCCTAGGATCGACACCCGTCGCGACGCTTCATCACCCAACACGGTGTCCGTCCTGCACTCAGTTAACCCCGTCGCGTGGGTGGTCGGCGCGCCTCTTCCCACGGAGTCTCCACCACTTGGATCGGAATTCGGCGGACCTTCAGCTGCTGGATCTAAGCTTGGTACATACTCAAGCAGCTCCTCCGGCCGTGAATCTAAAGCATGAGCCGTAGTTGAAGCTTGGGGCAGCGGTATTCCTGTCGTCCCGGCGATGTGTCCTTCGGTCGTCTGGGCGGGTGGATCTGACGACGATCCGTCCTGTCCATCCTTAGCTCCCTTGGATCTGGCCTCCACCTGTCGGACTTGTGCTGGATGCTGTCTCTGCAGTATTGCGAGCGGCGTCGGGTACTCGGGGCGCTCCACCATAGGCCCTGGTGGGGCCTCCGGGGGTTCCGCCTCCGCGGATCCAGCGTCCGTCGTGGCCTGCAGCGCGAGGTTCTGCCACTCCATGTAGCGGCGGGATCCGATGGACACGCAGCCTTGGATCCGCGGGACTCGGTCTCCGGCCAGCCACATCCTGACTTGGAGGCTCTGGCGCAACACCAGTTCCTTCTATCCGATGTTCGTGATCTGAAGGTACCGTAACTTGCCTGGGCCCTTGATCACCGTTGGCACCCATCGATCCCCTCGCGTAACCCACAGCTTGTCGTGTTCCGATCCTCGCAGACGCATGGGCAGCTCCGCGGACTCTCCGATCCCAAGTTGCAAGTATCGATCCAGCTTCTCGGACTGCGTCTTGTCACTGTAG